GCTCATTGATTCGTTGACTGTTTCAATGTGTGCTGGATCGCATACGGATGTGGTGTGATTCACGAGCCAGTTGTTGGCCTTCTTTCCTACGTGTTTCCCGCTCCTGTTTGCTTACCGGTTACATGTGTGCCTATTGCAATAGGCGTACTACTTAATTCAGTGTGTGCTTATGTACCTACTGCTAAACCGGCACACAAGAGCCATCATATTGTATTTGAATTTAGCATTTCAGACATCCAACGGTCTGTGTGTGTTTGGACATTGTACCGGACTGTCGTCCAGCGATTGAGTGACTCGTAGATACGAATCCCAAATCCAATTCCAGGTAACGAGAAGTCGGTAATCTACGTGTCCTATAAACAAACAAATATGTACAAAAACAAGCATCATACCTCGAATTGTGGGCCAATCCGATCTCCACGGTACAAGAACAAGATACAAAGCGGGTCAAGGCGTAGAAGAAAGCACCTGCGGAGCGGTGACCAAAAGGAATGCAAACTATGCACAGAAACGGGACAATTTGAAGGATAGAAACACCAACCGCAAGTTCTCGATAATGAAGAGGAGTCATTGGTCAATGCAAGGCACACGAACGGTTTACGGGATCGAACGATCAAATATGAAGGTCAACATAAAGTGAACGGAATGACAATGAACTAGAACCCAACGTGGGTGGGGGGACGGATCCAAGGTAGTTCGTATGTAATGACGCACGACATCGGTAAGTGTCGAACAGCAAGAGTTGAAGGACAATAACGGTAGGTGACAAATGAATGGGACGAGGGACGCTTAGAGGCGGCATGTGAACAATAACAACAAAGTACAAAGTATGTCATCGGACCAAATTGGGGCATGATGACGATCATCTGTGTAATGGGTCACATGGGTGCACAGGTAATCGAACCGAACCGGAGCAAAACCTGTGACGTGATTCATTTTTCCAAACAAGTCGGTACACCGCCCCACAAATTTATTACACCGACTCGCCACATCAAACACTACTCAGCTATGGTTCCCCCCTAAGCTACACACACCCAATTATTTATGCAGGATAATTGGGAATACCACCATGCTCGATCATTATCCTCTTTGACCACTCTTCTTTATAGCATCGTAGGCAGGCTCCTGATTAAATAATGGTTCTTCTTCCAACGGCCGAACTTAAGTAGTAACCCCTGTTTGTACCAATTGTGCCACGTAACGTTCTTGGGTAGTTTCTTCCCGTCTAGGAGCGACCGCCATAGGCTTCGGTTCCAGGTTCCAACAGTTAAAGATCGTATTTGTTTAATCTGTTGTTTCCCATTTAGCGCGAGAGGTTTCCGCTGCGGTTTCGACTTCATCGGCCATAATAGTTCCGGAATCTTCAGAAAGAAGGGATGATCAATAACGGAAGAGGTATCCTTAGTGACGAATGTGCAAGATCTAGGCTCATGGGACGGATTGTGTAGTACGCTGGTGGAGAGTTTGCAGACGATAGGTTGGAAGTGTTCGTTATGATAGTGCGATGGGTTATTCGTCATACGTACTGTTGATATTATAGGTACCAGTTGCAACCTCGGAGTGCGCACAGAGTTGGTCGGCGCTTTGTTCCTAAACACAGTGTGACTTTTCGTACGTATGCTAATAACGAAACGTAATTGTGAAAGGTAATGTGGTATAGCTTTGTCATAACTCGGCATTAGTTCTGAATCCCGATCTACCCTTTGTTTCGGATAGGAGAATCTCTTCGTTTTTATCGGGCGGCTCTTCAACTTCAAGCTTGCAGGAAACGAGTACAGCAAAGGAACCATCTGTAGCCAGCCATGTAGTATCTACCGTCTTCAAAGCGATTTGTTTATCTCGGGTGACCTTATTCTAAACATGCATATCAAACTGTTGAATAAAGGTCCGATAATCTTTTGGATCACCAACGAAGTTGGTTGGTTCCGCTTTCGGTAGGTCCGGGCAGTCAACGACCGCGGACGATGTTGACCGTGGTTGCTCCCTCAAGTTTTCGAGTTCCGAGTTGGCACTGAGGAAACCCTTTGAATCTCTAGGCAGATCACAGGGCCTTTTGTACCGGTCGATTTGCGATCGCTTGTTCAGCTGTACTTCCTCCTTGATTCGTTGTTGTTCCTCCACGGCCTCGTCTATCTTGGCGATCTCAGTTTCAGTCCTTGCCAGCAGCAGCTCACGCCGCCTTCGGGCCACTGAATTTCTAGCTCTAATTGTTGTTCTAACAATCTTTCTCTAATTTGGGCCTTGAGCAACTTGAAACGGACGATTCTGGCATGAGACTTAGAACTAATATCGGAACAGCACCATCAGTGACTTGTCTCATTGTCATGGGTTTGTCCTCCGTCTCACCAGCTTGTTTCCTTATGAGCGGTATCGCGTCTTCAGTTCAGTACTCCTATCGGTGAAACAGCACCAATGAAAATTTAATTGCGTCCTTTGGTCGTCGACTATTCTCGAACAAAATCAACAGCCACGGTAAAAAAGCTCGAGGTCAAAGGTAATTCCGTCCGACCGTGACCGCCCTCAACGAAGACCAAGTCTCCAGGATCGATAGTAAAATTTGAGTGCTTTTCTGCTTCCCAGTTCTGCTCCGTGTGGATCAAATAGTGATACGAGCCAAAATTACAAATTGCGCATCGTCCGGTTGAATCCAAACCTCAGTTGTTTCCTTCGTCACATCTGGACGAAGCCAAAATGAGTACTGGCTCAACGGGATGGTATGAATCAGATTAGAACTGTTCGTTTAACAGTGCGTTCACTAAGAATGCATGATCTGTTGTTTCAAAGGATTGAGAGCATCGTTTTTTTTAACTTAAAAAATAAAGTGTATACCTTCCTGCTAAAACGTGATTGTGCCAGTCACGGTTTTTGGTCACTGGGACTCCAAACATCGGCAGCTCATGGTGGATTTTATGCTCCAAAACAACTTTCAAATTCTTTTTTAATACACACCGGTGTGTGTTCGACAGCACACGGGGCGGACCACATAGTCACTAAGACCTACTACTGTTCAGTGATGGTCAACATCAGCCTAAACCCCGCGCTATTTGGAGAGGCGAACCACCTCAGGTCCAGTCACGAGGTCAGACGTGCTATCGAACCGGGTGACAGCAAAGCTGCCTAGCACCAATTTGATCATTCCCATCTATTTCGAAAAGGAACACTGATAGTAAATAGGACGTGATTCGATTGAACAGTTTCGGAAATCATTGCTGTTCTATTTTTTCTGAAACACTCGATCAATTCCCCCCCCTCCCAGTTCGATGATTCAATTTAATCCCCCGTAGTTCTCGCGTGAGAAAAAACTCCTGCAATATTCGGGACGCATGACTGAATTTATGCATCTCAATTTGTTTTTTCTGGTGCATCTTGGCCGAGAAAAAGAGAACCCAATCCACCCCCATCTAGTTACCTCTCTATTTCTCTCTCCCCACCCGAGCATCATACGTTTGTTAATGGTGTTGACAATGTGGTGCACCCGAATCCGTGACAGATTTGTCTCCCAATCGAACTGAATGACAGTTTTTGTCCACTAGAGATCCCGTTGATCCTATCACTGATGTTAGATAGATACACGATGTGTCAGACACACTGAGGCAACCAATTTCGTGGAATTTCGATTTTTCAATAGCTTCAATTCTCCTCGAATTTCGCTAATTAACAAATATTCTAACGTGCAGATGCTTTTGTTTCGATTTTGTTCACCCCTGTTCTTTTTACCCTCGCCTGCCTCCATTGATCAAAGTGTGTGGAAACGTACGAGCAGATTAGGCATATAATCAATGTAGACATGGAAACAGCTATTACCGAAACGTAAATTCGATCTTTGTGGTGGGAGGGTTGCTAGTGGTTTGTGGATTGTATCACAGCCATTTATGTTGGTTAGCCAGTTCCTGAACTTGTACAGTTTTCACTCTCTTGTCCATAGAATAAACAAATAAATAGCAGCTCAAAAACGCTTCACATCCTCACGACACGTGCTTTCATCAACACCAGAATTTCCATGGTTAGGCTACAAGCGAGTAGATACCGTTTCATGAGCTTATGTTAGTCTGCTCACTCGGATTTACGCTAGCCAGTCACACCCGATATGTTTTGGTCTGAGCTTTGGCTATTTCTCGGAAAGAATTCGTCGTGTATAGAGTAAATGAAGCGTGAATTGAAAGCACTGTATCGGTGTTTCGACGGATGCGAATCCATCCATCAACCCCAATTGGGGATCGTGAACTCCGGGACCTCATTACAGGCAGAACGCAAACATGCCAGTCAACTGGGCCACTGGGCAGCTGATCAGACGGTTTTTCATTTTCCATTTGGCTATTTGTTCACTCCGTCTACATTGTTGCAAACATCGTGCATCGAATAAACCCGGTTAGTCGATGAACGTGATGCACATGCGCATGCGACATCCGCATCTCACGATCGTGAACCAGCAATGAGAACTGTACCACGACATCGTAGACCAAGAGGTACTGTGACTTTATATATATATATATATATATATATATATAATGCCAAACAAACCATGGTACAATATTATTTATAAAAAGAAAAATGTTCCATGATTGGCTTGTGGGCTGAGTACTGCCAGGTTGCCCAAAGGAAGACAGGTGGTTTTTTTCTCGAGAAGTCCAAAACCGGAGCCTTCAGCTAGCCAAAGCCTGACGCGCAAGGCCAAATGTTTGGTCTTTTGTTAAGTTACATTCTCCGTGAGTTACTTCTTATCAGTCAGTTCTTTTTCCGGTGTCTCCGATATGCTACGTGAGGATACATAACGAGTAGTTTCTTCGTTTGTGCATATCAGTTGTTGTTCTTTCTCCTGTAGAACTCCGCCAAAGGAACACTGTACCTTCATTGTTGTGAACATGTCATCCCATTGCTCAATGTGGATGAATTACAGTCGTTCGGGATCTGGAAATTTTCTCACTTTGTATCAGGTTCATTACTCATCATCTACAGGAACCCCTTCAATTTTTTCCTGTTGTCTTTTTCTTTCAAAACAGGTCCCTTTGGAATTCGCTGGCGAATCCGAAAACACTGCTCTTTTGGAGTGGTTGGAACAGCGTATGCTCTCGTTATTGGCTCCATTGGCCGAACGCCATTTGGGATTACTTGCCCGGCTCCGTGCTGAATTGCAACGGTCCGAGACACCGGATTGGTCATCCTCGCATCACGCTGTGTCTGACGGATTGCAATCCCTTGCCAAACACGATCGAGCTGAAAGTGGTTAGTATTAGTTTATCCATCTGTGGATCGTTTCCTGGTCTTGGTGTATTCGGTGCAACAACCCTCTTTTGATGTATACACTCGGGCATCATTGTTACCGTCTTTAATTTACCGTTGCTTCACTGTCTCTGTTTCACAGGGATGTGTTGTTGTTGTTGTTTCCGCGATGAGAATTCTCATAATCACAATATGAATAGACGGACTTCTAGAGGAAGCAAGGGAGGGGGGAGTCACTCAGATTCTAACCGAAAGTGTATTGCCACCTGATACTCTCGAGTAATGTAGAGATGAACGCTACCAGGATGCGGCGCGATACCTTCATCGAAGAAGGTTAGCTGTGAATAAGTTGTGCCATACCGCAACAAATAAACATTCACGATCAGACAGCGGCGGCACTACCTGGGTATGGTGGGTTTCAGGCTGGTCACCTGGCTCCTGTTTAAAATCCGTATAAGACCAATGACGGTGTCGTGACAAATGTCGATGTGACTGACCTTTTCAAAGTAAATTCATTGAATCTTTCACTTCCGAGGCGAGGGTTTACTTCCTGCTGCCTTGCAGTTCACACTTGGTTGTGCAAAGGCGAGAGGTGCACCCTCAAAATAAAAAAGCCGAGTGATGCAGGGGACGTCGTCTCTCGTACCAGATTCCCAAGAAACTTTATGGTCATGTCTGGAGCCGGCTTATCGTTTCCTAGAAGCCAGCCGCCATAAAGTAAAGTAAAAGTATTGCTACCGAGTTACACCGTTCGGATCTGACCAATAGACCTCACGCTTGTTTCAGTAATTGGGGAGTGATGTTTATTTTACGGAGATCATTGTCTACTAGTTGTTAGCGGTTGATTGTTTTGGCATTGCATATGACTATTCTAATACTGTTATGGGGGATCACCCCGTCGTCTATACTTGTTCCCTTCAAGCTTTAGCCATAACCCGCGGTCCTTTAACCTTGACCCGTTTACCTTTAGCTTAGACGCACAAATTGTGATCATGCCGGAGTATGCTAGTCAAATCAAAAGGTATCGGAATATTCTGAAGTTAGTGGATGTTGGAAAAGGATAATTTTCTAGAAACGTTGATGTTGCAAAGCATGGTTAAGAAACACAGGTGTGGCGGTTGCACGCTTGAGGAGGCTTAACGGTTGCGACCTTTTTATAATCTGGCTCGCTTACTGTGGCGTGACTGAAGGTTGTGCGTCGAGGCTAAAGGACTGTGGGTTTTGGCTAAAGCTGAAGGTTTAGTTTTCTCCACAAGTGAATTCGAGATATTTCAGTTTTTGCCTCTCGCCATTGGTTGAGTCACCTTTCATTCTGGTCCCTTTCCTCCCCGAATCTCGTTCACGTGACAATCAGGAGACATTCTCACAGACATCTTTGATGCGAATCTGGCGCGTGCGGAACCCTGTGAGACCGTCGATTCGGACTCGGACAATTCGGCTTCATTGCCCGGACCAGACGTGATGGGGACCGGAGAGCCGGGTTCGTCCGGATCCACAACGTACAGCGTGTTACAGGCTGGCGGAGAAAGCAGGCGTCATTCAGCTCTGGAATCCGAGCAACCCTGTTCCGGACCGGGTGAAGCGCCGCCGACACCGAAGACCGATCCCGGAGCTTTTGGCTCTTTTGATTCGGTGTTCGCAGCCTATTTGGACTTACTAGAGGTAATTCGGATACATTGATTCGATATATCATTACCAGCTCAGTTTCTTCCCCTCTATTCTGAACTTCTTGTTTGTTTATCTGGAGAACTTTGATATCAGTCATATTCGTCTGTCTACAATGCAACACTGTACACATACACACACTGTTCATCCCAGACTTAACATTCTGAGGGAACTCGGTAGAGCTTACTGTGAATTCCATGATTTTATTTAGTTAATCTCTTTTTTATCAGTTAGACTCACAAAATGCACTTGCTCAGATGCCTGAGCTGCGTAGATGGGGGATGATAACCTCGTAAGCTCTAATACTGCCTCCCAAGGNATGGTTGGGGGTGGGTGTCTAGGGTTGCGGCTAGTCACCCTACCCTTGCACCTCACGAAATGCCCCCATACGACCAAGCGTCTCAAATAGCCTCTGCTGAGGAAGCCCTACTCACTGCCTTCTCTCGGCGGAGGTGTTTTCCCACCAAAATGAGAGGACGAAAAGCCGATATCCG